TGAGGACCCAGACTGTGGGGGCGATATGCTGACTCTGTAAACCGCTTAGAGAGGGCTGAAAGCCCTATGAAGCGGTATATAAGTCTAACTGCTAAAATAATAAATATCAGTGATGCTTTGGTGATCTGGCAGGGGCTAAGGGATCATTGCAAAAGCAATTAAATGCTACCCTAGGAGCAGAGTACATCAGAAAAAAATGAGACACATTGGACCTTTCTAGTTTCTCCTATCTTTAATAATCTTTCAAGAACCAATGCTGGCCAGTAGTTGGCTTCCAGGAGTTTTCAAAGAAAGCAAGACATTAAGTAGCAAGAATAGAGGTGGAAACAAATGATGAAGGAAAGCTGTGCTAATGAAATAAGAGGCGGATAGAGCTTGATCCAAGCGAAGGCAGGGTTTCTTTTTAAGTGGGAATCATGTGTTTTTGAATGTCCTTATTCACAGCTAAGTCTGTTTGGGCCGGAAATGTGATTCATGACTAAAAGCTTCTGTGTATCTTGATTATAAAAATCGGGGGAATAAAAGATTGTGCCTGAGTTCAATAGGAAAAGAACTGAGCTGTTTGTGTCTGCAAGGTTTCTGGTGCCTTGGGGTTGCTATTCTTGTAGGCTTTTGATGAGAAATCCAAGGTTGAATGATTGTGTGTGGCGGGGGCGGGATGTGTGCGAAATGTGATAGAATGGTGAGCTCTGAATTTGGTACAATGAATCCAGGTTTAGAATGTCTGCTCAGTTATGAATCTGACATTGGGACCCTTATTCTTATTTTTCAGTCTAACCCATTTGCATAGTTATTGTGTGAATAAATTGAGAGAAATCCTAATCTGTTCTTCTTCAAACTTCTTAAAAGCTAGGACCTACATATGATAAATGGGTGAATAAGTAATATGATAAAACTATCTATGGGAATTCATCAAGTTTGCAGTTTAATCAAAATGGATACTGTTGAGCACTTTAGGAATCTCAAATACTTAAGACAAATTAAAGCACCCTGGAAACTGTGTGCATTGCACAATTCTATAGTGTGTTATACTTTCCTTTCCTCATAGCTACAGTTTTCTGATTCTTACCAATCCACCACTCTATTACACAACTTTGCATGTATCTATTCACTGTCAAAGTTGCAAATCATGTATTGCTAATCTGGAGTGAAGCAAACTGTATAAAAAGAAGAGAACATAGGCAGTTTTTATTAATTTGCTTTTTCTATTCTCAAATTAATCACAAAATTTAAGCTTCAGAAATCCATTTTGTCTTATTTGATCAATTCATTTGGAACCTTTTAGATCTGCCTCTCCCTAAGCCTAATTAGCTTTTTAAATTGCTCGTACTCCTAAATTATCAAGCATTTACTACTGGTATCATGCAGCAGTATAGGAACAATTTCTAAGCTTTGACTGGGACGAAGATAATGTTTGTGCCATACTTGTAAACAGGGACAAAGAGAACAAAATAACCTGTATTGACTCAGAAGAAACAAAGGCAATATATCAAGGGCTGTTTGTAGATCATTCAAACTATCCAATCTTTAAAGGAAAACACTACATAGACTGTGTTATGTGCTTCAGCATAAGAACAGAGGTTTAGGTGACCTAAATGTACCTAGTGAAATCATCACGAATGATAATTATGTGGCCTTGAATACAATCTAAGTGAACTCCTGCTCAGAAATTTATCTTTGTAGATATTTGTAGCATAAAGCAAATCTGTGCAAATCTGTGCAAAATGATTAACAGACCTGTTGCCCAGAGCCTGCATTGAAGTATGGTTTTTAAAAATTATTTTTAAATTTCTCATTTTGGAGCTCTCAGTGGCCATTTTGCAACCCCTGGAGCATAGCAGAAATGGGGTTGCTAAAATTTGATGGGGAGTAGGTTGATTTTTCAGCTCTAGATTTTTTTTGTATTCTGTTCAATCATGTGTGATCCCCCACAGCTTTCTTAGCAAGGTTTTTCAGAAATAGTTTGCCATTTGCGTCTTTCCTAAAGATGAGAGAAGTGCTGGCCCAAGGTCACTCATCTGGTTTTATGTCCAAGAGGGGACTAGAACTCCAACTCCTGGTTTCTAGTCAGATACTTTAAACATTAAACCAAACTGGCTCTCAAGCACTCTGGAGCTCTCAGTTCCCATTTTGCAATCTCTGGAATACCGAGAGATAGTGCTCTTAAAATTTGGCAGGAAACAAGTTGATGTTCAACTGTAGAAATAAGGCATGTTAAAATTCTGTAACACAAGTATATCCATTTTAATTTTTAGCTGCTTAAGAAAGTGGGGTACAGGCTGAAAAACAAAGTGATCCCAAACTTTTTGACTATGGAAAGCAACTAAAAAAAGAGTGAAAATTAAATAAAAGTTGTTAAAGCCTGAGTTACTTTCTCTGAACTACCTGCTTAGTTATTGCTGAACTGTTCAGACAAAATCAGCTGGATTATAGGCACAGACAGAAATTTTAGAGTCATCCATGGGAGGAAAGAATGTTAGAAAAGTCAAGATAGCTGCTGTAACTTTATGATAAAAGAAGGGCTTCAATTACACAGTTACACTTATCCCTTAAACATTTTTGATATCCTCCTAAGCAAATGTCCCAATAGCTGTGTAGGAAGATGTTATAAAGGCAGGATAGCATTAGTTTATCAAGATTACCAAACATTTACAAGGCAGGAATACTTTTCAAGTTTCATACCTGAAGTTGTCACTGATTGCACTAAACTATATGAATTAGGTTTTTAAAAGTTATTCCTTTCTCTTAGTGAAATGCATATTGTTTGCTGGCCTCATCATCAGACTAAGTCACCTTTTCTTGGGTGAAAACATTTTTTATTTGGATTATTTATTCTGGAGTGTCTACAAAAACTTAGCTCATAACACCTTTGTTTTCTAGCCTACCATACTGGATAATGTTAGGCTCATGATGAGCACTTCCATGAAATTTTCCTAGTAGAAATATGCTTCTGGGAAGTCCTTTTAACTCTCCAAACCATCTGACAATCCTTAATAACCACCCAAATTTTAAACTAGATCAACGCTGCTTAACCTCTAACAATGGACAAGATCTACAGTACCAGCTTCTACTACCTCTTGATAGAAAATAAAGAATGGAGGGTCACAAAAAGAAGCTGATCTCCAAATGATACTCAAAAGTTCAATGTTAATAAAATGATATAACGCTTATGATGTTTTAGTGAAAACTTCCTAGGGCCACAGAATTTTCATT